GTATAGCCTTGAGCCCGTGTTTCCCCGGCAGACTTCTGCCATTCCAAGAGGGTTCAATCACCTCCATTCTTCCATATGCACCTAAGGGATGTCCATATGTGTATTGCTCCGAAACCTCCTTCAGGGAAGGTTCGAGATTCCGTTAAGTCCCTGTTCCAAGTAGAACGGGTGCGTTTCCCCAGTGTTATCTAGTCTACTCAGTGGGTAGTGCCATAGTAGCGGTAGCTGGTCCTCTTGTGCAGGCCCTGGCCAGCGCCAAAAAGTAGGGGCATAGATGGCTTCCACAGGACACTGGAAGGGGCGGTAGCTGTGGCCTTTTGGTAGGATCCCAATTCGTCGGTCCTTCGACGTGACGTCAAGAGTAACCGACTGAAAGGGAACGTCTCGGTTACGTATGTAACCCTCGTTCCCTGAAGGAGGGAACGGAGACGTCACATCCCGTCGCCACAGCTCCTGTACCACTGCTGAGCGGCCGGGTCACCGGCTCGGTTCCTCAGCGAAAACTTGAATATGCGCTGCATCTGCTGCCTACTTATACTCACGCTGTGATCAGCAGCAGCTGGATGCAATAATCGCATGCCAATGTGCATTGGCTCGTTTAGTTTACACTCGAAGTAGATTGCTCCCTCTAAGCGAGATCCCAATTCGTCGGTCCTCTGACGTGACGTCTCCGATCCCCCCTTCAGGGAACGAGGGCTACATACGTAACCGAGACCTTTTTTCTCCACTTCAGTAACACTTACGTACACCAAACTTTACAGTTTTATTCTTATCTAAATTCTGAAAGTTTTTATAAAAGGGTTTTTTCATATATCATTCGACTGATTTATTATTGCACTTTTCCTATTTATGCCTGTACATTTAAATTACAATACATATGTTTAACAAGATTTTTTTCTCCACTTCAGCAGCACTTACGTACACCAAATTTTACAGTTTAATTCTTATTTATATTGTGAATGTTTTTACAGAAGGGTTTCTTCATATAACATTCCCTTAAATTGTATTAATGCACTCTTTCTATTTATATCTGTAGATTTCAATAACAATGCATATCTTTCAAGGCTATTTTCTCAACAGGAGTTTCTTTCTCCACTTCAGAAACACTTACATACACCAAATTATACACTGTAATTCCTATCTATATTGTGAATGCTTTTACTGAGGAGTTTGTTCATAACTCACTAACAAAGAATGTATTACTGTACTTTATTTGCATCCATAGATTTTAAATACAATACATATCTTTAAACGCGGTTTTCCTAAAACAAAGTTATTTTCCCCCTCTACTCCAGAAAAACATACAACACATTTTCAAGTTTTATTCTTATCTATATTCTAAAGGTTTTTATTGAAGGGTTAGCTCATATATCATTTGACTAATTTATTATTACAATACATATGTTTGAAGAAATTTTTTTTCTCCACTTCTTTAACACTTTCACACACCAAATTTAGCAGTTTTATTCCTGTCTATATTCTGAAGATTTTTATAGAGGGGTTTGTTCATTTAACATTCAGACTGATTTATATAATTTTTTTATTCCTAAAAACATGGTGAAAATGTGTTTTTTTCCCTGTTTTTTCTGTTTTATTTTCTGAATTATGGAGTGATAAAAGAGAAATCCCAAATCCCATTTGTAAAAGCCTTTAACTCTACTATGTCAACAAAATCAGACAATAATTTTGCAATTTTTAATGCAATCAATCAACTGTAGAATTATGGTGATAAATATTAGTTATATTGTTTACCCTATTCACCTGTGCTGTCTTGTACAGAGCCCCGCACATGACATGCAAGAAAAAAATAAATAAATTGTGCGCACAATTTACTAATTTGTTCCCTCGATGCACTAAAACGTGCACACAATTACTATTTCATTCCCTCAATTTGTTAAATTGTGTGCACAATTTATAAATCAAGGGAACGAAATAGTAAAATGTGCACACGATTTAGCCTACTATTTTTTTCCTGCATGCCATGTGCGGGGCTCCGTAGTCTTGCCTTAAACACAACCTCTGAGAAATAACATTCCTGTGGGAACTCGTGAAAAAGTCACGACTATTTGGAAACCGGAGTCAAAACAATGTGTAGCAGATGTGCAAATAGGACAGAAATGGCTTTGGATGGGTCGGTGCCTATAGAGGCGTCTGTTTGCCGCTGATATCACTGGATTGGCATGTTTAATGCAGCAGAAGGAGGGACAGATTCAGGCAGAGATGATGTTTCTGAGACAGTTGGAGGCGGGTGAAACACACAAACAGAAGAGACTCTATAAAACTGAAAAGACAAGATCACAGGACTGATGAAACCCTGCCCCGTGTGACTCCATCAGATCCGCATCTGCACAGATGCTCCGTATGAATGAGGTGTGACGCTTCACCTGGTGAACTCGGCTGATGATCTGCGTCCACACGCTCTCGGCATTCGATCCCTGGCGGGAGAGGTAGTCACAGCAAGACTGAAATAAAACAGCCGACATAAAGCACATTAGCATAGGTAAACAGCCTGGATGCATATGTCACAGGAGAAAACAGAGCTTGTGTTTTGATGAAAAAACAAAGATGCATTCAATGCATAAAGAAAATGAAATCTAATTTATGACCATTAAGACTGTAATTGCATTGTCACATTAATTTCAGGATAATTACACAAAATTTGCATTACAGTAATGCAAAACATATTTTACTTTAATTCAGTAATAAAAATCATCCTTTCTGGACAAAGTGTTTAATGAATTACTAAAATCAGAATTTATTTAATTTAAATGATACATCATTATATTAATAGGGTTGCAAAGGGGTGGAACATTTCTGGTTAAATTCTGGAAACTTTTCAAAAAATCCTGGAAAGTTTCCAAAATTTCTAGAATATTTCCAAAATGTTCCACCTTTCTGCAACCTTATATATAAATAATAATATAATAATAATACACCATCCTCATATCTCTCTATATATAAATACGTTTTACTATATTCATTTTTCTTTTTTATTATTTATTTTTCAATTTTTCATATAATTCAATATTTTTTAAACTATACACACACACACACACGCGCGCGCACGCACACACACACACATACATACATACACACAAATATGTAAATAAAGAGAGAGAGTTAAATTTTTTTTACTTTATAATACATATATTACTCTTATATAATCTTATCCTATATTTTGTAGTGAAATATTACTTTAAGCATGACTCCACATTTTTTAATGACTAAATGAAAGATCGTTCTCAAGTACCTTTTTCGCCATTTCAATAGAAGGTCTTTCGATTGGAGTTCTTTTGGCCATCTCAAGCAGAAGTCTCTTGAGTTTTCTCGGCATGGCCAGCTTTTGATTGGGAGACAAATTAAACTTGGCTGTAGCCCAGAGAACAGCTGCTACCCCATACACACACGCCTAGAGATGAGCAAAAACACACTGTAAATGACGTTTGTTTAGACAGACGACGACTACTAGACAGTGACAAACCTTTTCCGTCACAATTCCATGTTCTTGAAACTCAGGAGCCAGAAAAAATGCATCACAGGAGGCTGAGAAGACAACAGGAACAGAATTAATGAACTAATAACAATTATAATAATTGCATTCACTTACGTGTTGTTTTAAAGCGTGAGTTATTCTACATGTAAAGTTGCTTTCTGTTGCATCTACCGGTAATATTGACTCTTCATTGGCAGCTGTTGAGTTGTGATGGTAATGAGATGTTCTGTAGTTCTCGTACCTGAGTTTTTAGGTCTCAGAAACAGCATCTCTCCTTCACAGCCCACATACACAGAGTCCAGACACAGGTAGTCTAATGTAATATAGAGCACAGTTATGCTTCTCAAACAGGAGCCACAGATCATAGAGATCACGTAAACATGGAGCAAACAGTTGCTAAATAAATACTAGTATTAGTTTGTGTTAAATGGAGATGGTTGGTAACACTCTCTAACTATCTGAATGTGCGTAGTTGGCAAATAACATTCAAGATTTTAGGTTAAAATGTATAGGGATGTCAAGTCACTTCAGCATATTAGAATGATTTCTGAAGGATCATGTGACACTGAAGACTGGAGTAATGATGTAAATTAAATAGCATTTTAACAGATTCACACAGAAAACAGTTATTTAAATTGTGATAATATTTCACAATTTTTACTGTACTTTTGATCAAATAAATGCAGCCTTGGTGAGCAGAAGAGACTTCTTTGAAAAAATCTTAATTATTCCAAAATTTTGACTGGTAGTGTATATTAATTAATTGTTTTGTAGATTTGTTTTCACAGTGCTGAATGTAAAGTGTTTGTTTTAAGATGCTCACCACTTACTTATCTTTTTTCATTTTTGATCATGTTTGAACTTTTTTGATGTTTGCTTTACTCCTTCAGTGTAACACATTAATTTTCAAAACTACAGATATTCTATAAGGTCCCTGAATTAAAATCAGCTTCTAATACAAGTATTAGAAAAGGTTATTTAAAACAGTTTTGAATAGGGTTGCAAAGAGGTGTAAACTTTCCAGAATTTCTGGAAACATTCGGACATTTTTTTTTTTTTAACTTGTGAGAATTTCTGGAAACTTGCCAAAAATTACAGAAATAATTTTGCAGCCCTACTTTTAAATGAAACAACATTAACTAGCATGTAAATTATCAATGCACTGCATAACGTAACAATGTTACATACATTAACATTATTCATTAAATGGATCGTTCAGACAAAAGTGAAAATTGTCATAATTTACCACTCCTCATGTTGTTCCAAACCTGTATGAATTCCTTCCTTGTGTGGAACATTAAAGAAGATATTTGGAAGAATGTTGGTAATCAAACAGTTGCTGGTCCCCATCGACTCCCATAGTATGGAAAAACAAATACTATGGAAGTCAATGGCTACCGGCAACTGTTTGGTTTCCAACATTCTTCCAAATATTTTCTTTAATGTTCCACAGAAGAAATAAACTCATACAGGTTTGGAACAACTTGAGTGTGTGTGTAAATGATGACAGCATTTTCATTTTTGGGTGAACTATCTCTTTAATATAAAGTTATTATGGCCGTAATACCTAAATAAAGACGAAACAGAGTATCTTTGATGTACCCGACTGACCTGGGAGGTCGATATATGTCTGTAGCGTGGAGAGACACGTGTAGCATAAAGACCAGAGCTCATTCACCGAGAACGGCTGACCAGAGCACGAGAGCAGCTCCCGCAAAGAGATCCACTGAGAAAAAGAAAACAACACAAAATATATTCATTATTCATTTTACATCAACATGTTGAACTAATACATACTTTCCCCAGTGCATTAAGACAACTGTTTTGTTTTGTGACATGTTATGTTTAAAAAAAGCAAATGAGGCATTATCTTATTAAATATGTACTAATTTGCATACATTTCCAGACCAGAAACTGGAGAAAGAAACTAATTTTGAGAAAACAGCCTTTAAAGATATAATAATGAAATCAGGGGAATGTTATACGAACAAACACTTCTGTAAACACCTTATAAATATAAAAAAAATAATATAAATAGGAATAAAACTGTAAGGTTTGGTGTGTGCAAGTGCTACTGAAGTGGAGAAAAAACTCACTGTGTTTAAAGATATGCATTCAAATTTAAATCTACAGTTACAAATTGATAAAGTGCAATAACATTCACACTTAAATGTGTATTTTTTAATGTTTTTTTCACTAGTCTGAAAGATATGGAAGTGTATATCCGCCACAGAATTAAAAAAATTAAGTAATTATACCTTTTTATCTCACAGTATTTTTTTATTTCTGAGTTTACATCTTGCGATTCAGTTGTTTTTTAGTTATTTTAAAATACATTTTGGACTTTTTTTCTCTCAAAGTTTTGTATTTCACAATTCAGACCTTTCTTCTCAGAAATATATTTTTTTAGAAATCAAACTGTTAGAAACTCAGAATTGCAAGAATAAAATTCAAACTGTGAGAAATCTAATTGTGAGAAATAAACGTAGAATTGCAAGAAAAAAAATAAAATTGTGAGAAAAAAACTCAAAATTGCAAGAAAAATTTCAAATTGTTGGAAAAACTCAGAATTGCGAGATATAAAATCAGAATTGTGAGATTAAAAAGTCCCAATTGCTTTTTAAACTTTTTTTTTTTAAATTCCATGACAGAAACAAGCTTCAACACAAAGGCGGCATGTTATAGAAGCAAAATAGCCCAAAATGTAAAAATTGACCATTGCACGAAAAAACAATTGCTTTACCTATAGTGTCTCGAAATAAATTAACAAAAAGTCATATTTTGGTTGTTCTGCATCATCAAACGCACCTGATTGCAAAATTCCTCATTCAGGCACAACACAGGAAAAATTGACCAGTGCACGAAAAAACAATTGCTTTACCTATAGTGTCTCGAAATAAATTAACAAAAAGTCATATTTTTCTGTTTTGCATCATCAAACGCACCTGATTGTGAGATTGCTCATTCAGGCACAACACAGTAAAAATTGACCATTGCACGTAAAAACTATTGCTTTACCTATAGTGTCTCGAAATAAATGAACAAAAAGTCATATTTTTCTGTTTTGCATCATCAAACGCACCTGATTGTGAGATTCCTCATTCAGGCACAACACAGTAAAAATTGACCATTGCACGTAAAAACTATTGCTTTACCTATAGTGTCTCGAAATAAATGAACAAAAAGTCATATTTTTCTGTTTTGCATCATCAAACGCACCTGATTGTGAGATTCCTCATTCAGGCACAACACAGTAAAAATTGACCATTGCACGTAAAAACTATTGCTTTACCTATAGTGTCTCGAAATAAATGAACAAAAAGTCATATTTTTCTGTTTTGCATCATCAAACGCACCTGATTGTGAGATTCCTCATTCAGGCACAACACAGTTTTGTTGGCATGGTTGGATCTGCACAGGTCTGCGTCTGCATGTGTTTCTCCATCTTCTGAGGCCGTTGGGCTTTGAGCGTCTACAGCGTCAGTCTGATCCGTCTCACATGCATCGGGTTCAGCCGTCGATTCCTGGTCCTCCCTGGCTTTGGGCTGCCGCAGTCTCCCGCTCCAGCTCTCCTCCTCCGTAATCTCGGACAGGTCGGCCATCATCATGCTGATGGGTGCGTGGGACGGTGGGCTGAGCGCTCGAGGGTTGTTGGAGTCCGGGACCGAGCAGGAGCGGTTCAGGGCTCTCCTGGCTCTCCCGGGCCTCCTCTCCTGACTCCTCCTGTGCACCGGAGAACTGTTCTGAGACCTGCTGTCTGAACTTCCAGACCACGGAGAGCCATTACAGAGCTGACCTCTGCGTCTCAGCAGCAGATCCTCGCCATCGTACGAATCGGCAGAGTAGTTTCTGATCATGATCCGATCGCCGCCGGGATTCTCTGTGGAGTTTGATCTCCAGGCTTTGTGATCCAGAAACTGGAAACTGGATTTCTCCCATCCATCTTTGAACAAACAGAAAGATTTGACCGTGTGAGATTCTAGATCAGAGATTCACAAACCAGCCGAACCAATTTTCAGCTAAAATACAGTCAAACCAAAATTTATTTAGACAAAAAATACATCTGGTGTCTGAATAATTTTTGGTTTGACTGTACTTGAAGTAGATATTTTAAGTTATTATTTCAATAATTTAACAACACATTTGCAGGTTCGTGGTTCTCATGTCAGTTAATGGTCACATGACATGCAAGTAAACAAATAAAACATATTTTTAATTATTTATTATATATTCTTTAAATGTATTTTTCTCTAATATCAGTTAATGATCGCATGACATGCAAGCAGACAAATAATTTCTTAAAAATATTTTTATGATTTAATATTCTCTGATGTCAGTTAATGGTCACATGGCATGCAAGTAAACAATTTTTTATTATTATAATTGATTATATTTTGTATTATTTAATATTATCTGATGTCAGTTAATGGTTGAATGACATGCAAGTAAACAAATAATATATTTTAAATTCTATTTTTATTATTTAGTCATTTTTATTACTTATTCTCTGAAGTCAGTTAATGTTTACTTGACATGCAGGTAAACAAATAAAATATATATTTTTAATTATTTGTTATATATATATATATGGTAAACAAATTATTTTTATGATTTATTCTCTGATGTCAGTTAATGGTCACATGACATGCAGGTAAACAAAAAAATATATATTTTTATTAATAATTATATTTTTGTTTATCCTCTGATGACAGTTAATGGTCACATGGAATGCAAGTAAAAAAAAAATTTAATATTATAATTTATTATATTTTGTATTATTCATTATTTTCTAATATCAGTTAAAAAGTTTGCATGACAAGCAGGTAAACAAATAAAATATTATATTATATTTCTATTTGTTCTATTTTTTATTTTTTTGTTATTCTCTGATGTCAGTTAATGGTTGAATGACATGCAAGTAAACAAATTAATTAATTAAATTTAAATAATTTTTTATTATTTATTAATTTATTCTCTGAAGTCAGTTAATGGTCATGCAGATAAACAAAATTTATTAAAATATTTTGTATTATTTATTGTTCTCTGATGTCAGTTAATGGTCACATGGCAGACAGGTAAACAAATAAAACATTTATTTATTTATTATATTTTTATAGAGTTTTATTTTAATAGTTTTTTCTTATTTAAAAATTAATTGTTGAAGACAATTTAAATGTAAAAAAACATTAGGGTTTAATTCTCATCTCATAAACCCGCTGCAGTTCCCTCACAAAGCATCAGATGCACTGCATTATGAGACAGCTGTGAACGCACACCTTGCAGATCAGCGACGGACTCTATGGAGAGGAGTCTTCGGCCGATGGCAGACAGTTTGCGGCAGACGGTTGTGGGCGAGACGTCGCCGAGCACAGCCTCCGCCTGAGAGAGAATGTCCTGACAAAATAAGACACAATATTGTCATTAAACAATGAAAGAAATCTGCCTCTTTATTAAGTCAAATCACCCATAAATGGTTCAACCTTGCGTTTAGTGTCAGTAAATGTACGTTTTCATCACGCTCTCGCCTCAAAAGATCAAGGACAGTTTGATGAATCATGACATGATTCATCCATATATGACGAAACCGTAGTGAAAAACATTTCCATCACATAATTTAGAGTAGAGTTTCCTAAACTGGGGTTTGCAAGAGATTTTTGTTATGTATTTATTTTTTTACATTTTGAATTACATTTTATTTTTATATTTTCTCTTTTCACTTTAATTGTAGTTAAAGTTTTAGTCATTTTATTGTGTTTTTGCCATTTTTATTGTTTTGTTTTTTTGTTTTATACAGTTTTAATTATTTTTTATGAATTAGATTTAGTTTCTTTAATTTTAGTAATTTTAGTACTTCAAGTTACATTTACATTTACATTTAAAAGTTAAAAGTTAAACTTAAAAAAAAAAATTGTGAAAATGTGAAATTCTGCCTTGCTGGAATAAAATAAGTTGAATTTTTTTATATTTTATTTAACCTGTATTTTATTTTATTTAAAGCAACAATTGTTTATTTTGTTATATTTTACCTGTATTTTATTTCAAGTAACTGTTTTTATGTTTTAGCTTTAGTTAACTATGATAACCCTTCTGCAGGGGGGGGTGTAAGCTGATGAAAACCTAATAATTAATTAAATCATAAATCATGCAAAATTAAAACAAATAATTTTAAAATAAAACCCAAATCAAAATAAAACACTTACTAAAAAGCATGCAATATTTAATTTGTAGGCAGCATTTCATGTGAACGTGAGCGAACTTGTTGTTAAATTATTATCTAAAGTATTAACTTAAAACATCAGAGTGACAGAAATATGCTATTATTCACATATCATTAAACAAAGATGGAAATCTGCCTCTTTATTGAACCAAATCACCCTTAAAATGTTCATATTGTACATTTTAATTATTTAAATCTCCAGAGAGTCATGGAAGATCAGAACGAGTTGACTTACAGCATGTTTTCATCAAGCTCTTAACAGGGTTATTATACTTAAACTAAAACCATAAAAAACATTTTTGTGACTTGAAATAAAATAGACATTAACTGAAAAAAAAATTTAATAAAATAATATACAAAAAAGCAACTTTTTATTATTCATTATCCTGTATTATTTATTATTAAAACGTATTTTTCTTATTTATTATAATTATAATTGTATTTTATATTTTTGACGGAAACTTGGGTTAAAGAGGGAGACTTTAGTCCCTTTTCTGAACTTGTTCCTCAGGATTGCACATTTTATAATTTGCAGCTCAATCAACTTGCAGCTGAAAGTTTATTACACGTACCATTCCGACTGGTGTCTACTCGAGCTTTGAGGTACAGCTTCTTTAAATAGATTTGGTACGTGTTAATATCTACCGCCCACCGTGTATTAACAATGCTTTTCTAAATGAATTCTCTGATTTACTAGGATAACTGATTCCACGGTTTGATTACATCTTAGTGTTGGGTGATTTTAATGTTGCCCCTTGTAACTGAATTAAAAAATCTTATTGACTCATTTGATTTTGTGCAGTGGGTGCAAGAGCCTGCTCATGCTCGTGGTCACACGTTGGACTTGGTTCTTTCACATGGATTCCAAACATCAGACATTGAAATCAGTGAAACAGAACGGTACTCTTTTCCTCTAATTTTCCCGATCCAGTAGTTGCAACACCTTCAGTGACTCGTTTGAAACGTTATTTCTCCACTCGGTCATGTGAGATGTGCGCTGCCTCTTATGCTATAACTGATCCACCTTTGCCTGGACTGTCCTCTCCCATGCAGGATGTGAACAGACTTTTTAATTGCTTCAATCAAAAACGTTTGTCTACTCTGAATCGTATTGCTCCGTTAAAACCCAAAACGTATTGTTACTAAACCCCAGCCATGGCTTAATGATTCAACTCGTTTGCTCAGAAAGGTTTGCAGAAGAGCAGAGCGAAAATGGTCTCATATGAAATGTGGAGAGATTCCTTATATGTGTATCAGAGAGCTGTTAATGCTGCCAAGTCCAAATATATATCTGAGTTTATTGGTGACAACTTACACAGACCTAAGACCCTCTTCTCTGTTATTGATTTTGTGCTCAGTCCCCATCAACATTTATCCTGATGCTTCCGTATCACTGTGTGAACAATTCTGTACATTCTTTAATGAGAAAACCGTTCAATTAAGATCTAGCCTGCCCTTGGGGAACTGTGTTCAAGCTGAGAGATCAAGCGGTCCGATACTGTGGAGCGATTTTCAGCCTGTCTCTTTTGAATCCTGTAAAGCAGGGTTCCTCAAATCTTACCCTGGAGGGCCAATGCGCTGCAGAGTTTAGCTCCAACCCTGATCAAACTCAGCTACCTGTGATTTTCTAATGATCCTGAAGACATTGATTAGCATGCTCAGGTGTGTTTGATTAGGGTTAGAGCTAAACTCTGCAGGAAAGTGGATCTTGTGGGCCAGATTTGAGGATCCCTGCTGTAAAGGCATTGTTGAACGTCGAACTTCATCTTCTCAAGATATAATTCCATCTAGATTTCTAAAACAGATTTTGAATACCGTTGGACATGATCTTTTAACTATTTTTAATACTAGTCTAATTACTGGGGTTGTTCCTGACTGCCTAAAAACGGCTACAGTAACTCTATTATTAAAGAGGCCCAATCTTGATTCTTCAAATTTTTATAATTTTAGGCCTATATCAAACTTGCCATTTCTTTCCAAGATTCTTGAGAAAGTTGTGTTGACCCCCGCTGCAGTCCCATTTGATGTCAAATAATATTTTTGAAAAATTCCAATCGGGTTTTAAGTCTCAACACGGCACGGAAACTGCACTTTTAAAAGTTGTAAATTATATTTTACTAGAAACAGATAAAGGGAATGCTGTGGCTTTGGTGCTTTTAGACTTAAGCTCTGCATTTGATATGGTTGACCACAATATCTTGATTTCCAGGTTGGAGAGCTGTGTTGGGTTACAGGGCAAGGTGTTGAAATGGTTTCAATCTTTTTTTAACATACAGAAGTTTTAGTGTTTCCATTGGCCAACATAGTTCGTCCTCACGCCCACTCGCTTGTGGGGTGCCACAGGGCTCAGTTCTTGCCCCGGTTTTATTGTCTATACTTATGCTACCAATGGGTGCTATCTTTGAGAAATACAGAGTGTCCTTCCACCTATACGCGGATGATACTCAGCTGTATTTTCCCTTGCAGCATAAAAGTAAAGAATTCTTAGGACCTCTGTTGGATTGTCTAAATGAATGACAAATATGGTTAAAGCAGAATATTTTAGTGTTAAACGAGAACAAAACAGAAATAATTTTGTTTGGTTTAAAGTCATATGAAGACTTTGCCCTTCACTTTGGTCATCTCTCTTCCTACTTTAAATACCTGCTTAAAAAAAAACATATTTTGTCAATAGCTTTTATCTAGCCATGTCTATTGTTTTGTTATATTGCGTTTTGATGTTTTGTGGTTTCTTATTTATTTTATTTTTGCTGTATTGTACAGCACTTTGGATCAACTGGTAGTTGTGTGAAAGTGCTTTATAAATAAATTAAAGAAAAAAAAAAGAAAACAATATTCTCTGATGTCAGTTAATGGTTGCAATAAATGCAGGTAAACTAATAAAATATTTATATTATTATTATTATTATTATTTATAATTTTTTTATTTTGAGTTCATTATGAGGTAAATACAGATTTAAAATCATAACAAGAAACCGTGTAATAGCTATGATAATCAAATTTTCGCATAGCAATGACAGGAAACACTAGCATCTAACTGTAACACCCCTGTGGACTGTTTGTTGTGGTTTCTTCCCCTTTTGTTGGTTTAGCCCATTCAATCATTAGTTAATTATCCTCAGTGTGCTCACCTGTCTGCCCCTCGTTATCTGCCCTATAAGTTCCTGTCTCGTGTATTCTAGTATTGTCGGTTATTGTGAATGTTACCCCGAGTGTGTGTGTGTCTCATCTACCCGAATCTGCCTTGTTGTCTCTACATTAAATATC